CTACTGTTAGATAGGACTATTGTACTGAGGGTCCCCTGCTACTGTTATATAGGACTATTGAACTGGGTGTGCCCTATTACTGTTATATAGGACTATTGTACTGGGCGTCCCCTACTACTGGTACATAGGATTTGGTGCGTGGTGCTGCTTCACACCGAGCAGTTGGCTACTTACTGGATCAGCAATGTTTAGTCACAAATGTAAACTCGGAGAAGAATTGAATCCTTGTACCAGAAGTACTGTGTCGGATCTGAGTCATGCCCGTATACTAGACTACCAAAGAGCTTCTGCATCTGTTATATACGAGTTGTTTTTTTTCCTAAACCTGGCAATCCTGGGTTTGCGGCGTAGTTTCTTGTTTGAACTGATACATACATAGCAACATTCCGTCTATTGAAAACAACACCTACTAGAGTACAATACCCCTACTGCTTTTTATAGCACTACTTACTCATGAACTGAAGGATATCGATAATAGATTCCTAGTCCTTCTGCCTTATACCTACCAATCATGGCTTCCACAAGAACCTTCCCCGCCACGTGTATCCGAACCCTGCAAATATCATACTCCTGTGGTGCCCCTATTATGATGATCAGGATGTTAAGTAAATTCACCATTATCGACTCTCAAAGTCATCACAACAGGAAACTCAAACACATTGTTGGCTGGTGACTGTGATGCGTACACACGCACAAACTATAGATAACTAAATACATACGCACTAACCTTTGGATAAGTAAGTACATACGTACTAACCTATGGTAAATACATACGCACTAACCTATGGATAACTAAATACATACGGACTAACATATGGATAACGAAATACATACGCGCTAACGTATGGGTAACTAAATACATACGCACTATCCTATGGATAACTAAATACATACGCACTAACCTTTGGATAAGTAAGTACATACGCACTAGCCTATGGATAACTAAATACATACGCACTAACCTATGGATAACTAAATACATACGCACTAACCTATGGATAATTAAATACATACGCGCTAACGTATGGGTAACTAAATACATACCCACTATCCAATGGATAACTAAATACATACGTACTAACCTATGGATAACTAAATACATACGCACTATCTTATGGATAACTAAATACATCTGCACTAACCTATGGATAACTAAATACATACGCACTAACCTATGGGTAACTAAATACATACCGCCTAACCTATGGATAACTAAATACATACGCACTAACCTATGGATAACTAAATACATACGTACTAACCTATGGATAACTAAATACATGTACTAACCTATGGACAACTAAATACATACTTACTAACCTATGGATAACTAAATACATACGTACTAACCTATGGATAACTAAATACTTACGTGCTAACCTATGGATAACTACATGCAGTACCGCGCAGCAGTGCAGAGTCGAAAACTGTGCAGCTAATTCGGCGTAGTATTCTGTTCAACTATGAATATTCATTGCCTCTTATTTTTAAACTTTTTTTTTGCTATAAACCCTAAGCCCTGAATAAACTCTAATTGAGTATATGTATGAACTTCACAAGAGACCTAAAACACAAAGGTATGTATGTGCATTTAGTAAGCAGCCATATAACACTTAGGTGACCTACAAACATAAAGCACATAGTGTACGGGACCGCAATGACCATTACTTACGTGCCTGATACACCATTTAATGACTTCGTGGGGAATTTATCTGATCCACTCACGGATGGTTTACTTTAATGACGGCTCACTCAAATTATTGCTGTGACAACTTCGTTTAACATAGCAGCACACAGGAGACTGTAGTGAATCTCACAACACTACCACCTCCATGAACTCTTCAAAGAGCATCAACTCAAACGGATCGGTGCACACCGCACCCCACAGTACGCCTCAGAAGGCTACAGAGATTGGGAAGTCCCCGGATAAAGAAATATATGGTCTCGTAGGGTATTACTGCATCTGGTTGGTGTTGGCTTTGTACACGGTGTATGCTCTTGTGCCAGATGGGGTGCTGAGAAATTACGGGATAGTGCTGCCGAGCAAGTGGTGGGTGGTTGCAATCCCGGTGTACGTCTGTAGGTACGTTAGTAGCACAAGTTTGTCTTTATATGTTGGTATTGTCCATGGTTTGTACATTGTACATGGTGTGCGTCCTAACATCAGACGGGTACTGACCAGAGTCTGGTCCTGGTTTTATGTTTGGTGTATGTGTGTTGTAGCAGGATATACGTACCATGTATATACAGGGTTTACGTTACCTGCCAGAGTGCTGACCAAAGTCTGGTCCTGATTTTATATTTATGTATGTGTGTTGTAGCAGGTTTTACGCACTATGTATATACAGCGGATACGTTACCAGACGAGACGCTGAGAATGCATGTGAAAGTGTCTGATGCGTGATTATGATCCCAGTCATCTCCGGTGTATATCTGTAGATCGGTTAGTAACACAGAGTTTACTATCGCCCGCACGGTTGCTCTCAAGGCCTGCGCGTATTGTTATACTAGTTTCTGGTACATGGTCATGATGTGATGTGAGGGGTGTCGCCACCACCCGAGCGCGAAATGCGAGTCCCAAGCCTGCAAGTGAGTGGTCAAGGATGTAGGAATCACGAGGCCAGGCTGCTCTCACCTACTTTCTCCTCTGACAGTCCATCCCCTACAAACCCACACTACTGGTATTCCCGTGTACCGTTTTTGTCTCCCTGTAGAGCATCCTCGTGTACGGGGGTTAGCCTTCAGCCCTGACTTCACCAGGTTCACTCTGGACTTGTCATACTTTGACACTACCTACATAACAAGATATCCCAGTCATCTGATTCATCGTCGCGTGTGATCTGCCTACTCCTTTTAATCCCCCTTCTAAATGACTTATTAGTACCAACCATTCTTTTCCCTTGGCAGCCTGTGGGTGTTCCTCCTCAGCCTGTACCTGGCAGTGAACTTCTACTGCACCCCGCCCATAGATTCGCTGGATACCATTCGTGACGAGTTTACAGTCCATGTACCGTTCCCCATAAGTCCTGTCCACCAGAAAGCGGATCCTCCGGTAGATGCCACTACCGATGTAACTAGTGATGTCAAGGATGTTGGAACACACCCCTATGCGATACCACCAGTAGGTGACATCCCCATCCAACGGGTGATGTGTGTGTTGTACCGGCAGTCTGGTACGTAGGTTTTTCCCGCAAGACCTTTCCAATAGTATTCTGGTACGCAGGTTTTTTCCACAAGACCTTCCAATAGTATTCTGGTACGCAGGTTTATCCCACAAGACCTTTCCAATAGTATTCGGATCCCGTGGTAGATGTCACTGCCGTTGTGACTAGTGATGTAAAGGATATTTGAACACACCCCTAGACGATACCACCAGTAGACGACATACCCATTCAAGTCGGTGGTGAGTGTGTTGGTGTTGTATGGGCATTCTGGTTTGTAGAGACTGAACTGAATGGACAATCCCTTCGCAATCATCTACCAGGGCGGTACTCGCATAACCGACATATCTCGGTATGTGTACGTACATTCACCATGTAGTACAAGACTTTGGTTCGAAGGTCATAGTTATGCGCTGACGATATTTACTTTCATTACACATATAATGTCTGGTAAATTGTGATATTTTGGTCCGAGATGTGGCATTTTAGAATGTATATGACTTGGGTGAATCGTGGAGGAAGGATTAGCATACAATTGTCATTTGCTATACGTTTGGCACAGTTTTATAACGTATGTGATAGATTCGGATATACCCAATCCCGTTTTTTATTTGGCGTATCAACTCGGCTAAGCACGTTGCTGAGGCATATGAAAGGCCCTTCATCAGCATCACCATCCCCAAGAATATGTGGAAATGGAGAAAGAGGAGATAGAGATACTGCCAGATAAAGCCATTTCTGATAGCGCCTTATGTCCCTGCACATAACTCGAGTGCGATGGATATCACGTTCGAGCACTGGGTGACTTTCCATCTGTACGTATTGCGGAGTGTGAATGCGGTTGTCCATGACTTGCGATGGCTCCTGAGCACTGCTTTTGAAAGCGTGCTCGTAGTGTGTACGTCTATAAAGACCGTAGTTTGGTGGTGTCTGCTTTTAAGTCCAATTAAAGAGGGTTGGGCCGTGAAGCGCATGTAGAACGACACTGACTGCCACAGTCTGTATGCAGATACTGTACACGCATTCAGATGCACCTATCAACCAACAACGACATACAATTGCACTCGTGGTTGACGTTTGCCGCGGTACAGATATGCTTGGGAATTATA